TCGATGTTTCTCTCTCAACGACGTTTCTAGCTCTCTCTTTCCCTTCCTCTCTGTAAAAAAAATCAATAAAATAGGTATATTAAAAAAAAAAAAAAAACTGAGGTCAAGTGGAATCAAATATAGCTTCACTGGCCTGGCCACCAGGTTACTCCTCACAGAAGTGCTTCTCACTGCTGTTGCTGCTTTCCTCTCTGCCCCGGGCTCCCGCTCTCCCACTCCATGTCCTACCCTTGCTCCATGGGTGTGAGCCTCCTGGGGGAGGCCAGGCGGAAACCTGTGGGCACTCACAGCACTAACGCTTTAGCTTCCCTTTTAGTATTCTTTACATACTCTATCAACATTTATTTAGTCACAAGTGATTATTTTTTAAATTCTGGTAAAATAGCACATAGTACACTTAAACCATTTTTATGTGTACTATTCAGTAATGTTATGTATACTTACATTGTTGTGCAACTGGTATCCAATCTTTTTATATCTCTACTAGTGCCTGGCCTGCACCCTTTAGCAATCTGGGACCTCTCGGGAGATGCCTGCCTGCCTGATTGCCCCTAACCACCTCTGTCTGCCTGCCTGATCACTCCTAACTGCCTCTGCCTCAGCCCCCCCCCCCCCCCACCACGGCTTCATCTGGAATGACGTCTGGAAGGTTTTTCCGGCTGTCCAGGCTAATTAGCATATTATGCTTTTATTATTATAGATACTACGGAGAGGGAAGTAATAGCTTTTTCTATCATGCTAAAAATAAAAGCTTATTTGATGTGTATCTTTGCAAAACCTCAGGTCTCACTTTACAATTTTCTTCTGGCCAAAGTTCACTCTTCTCTCCTCAGAGCTGCCAGAGGGAAAAGTAAGTTCAATCCTTGCCACTCAATCACGATGATAGAGTTAGCAGAGTGGTGAGAGGCAAGGCAGGGTCAATGGCAGCACATGGTTAAGGGCAGGGCCAACAACCTGCCCTGCAGATCAGCGGGAGGGCCTCTCTGACGACTTTTTTTTTTTTTAAATATTGTCTAAAGTTTTACATATGTCTGTCTCCTTTTTCTCCAATTGATCCCCCCCTCAGCCATTCCCACCCCGGGCAAGCCCCCACCGCCCAATGTCTGTGTCCATTGGTTATGCTAATATGCATGCATACAAGTCCTTTGGTTGCTCTTTCACTCCTCCTCCCCTATCATTTGTCTCTAGATCAATCTATTCTTGCTCATCAAATTATGTTGATCATCATATCCCACAGATGAGTGAGATCACGTGATATTTATCTTTCTCCGACTGGCTTATTTTGCTTAGCATAATGCTCTCCAGGTCCACCCATGCTGCTGCAAATGGTAAAAGACTTCTTGTTTTGCCACTTTCATCAGGCATTTGGGCCTGACATCAATAATCAAACAACACAGAGGAGTCTGAGCAGGAAAGGCTGTGCTGCTGGTCTGAGCAGGCACCTCCCCTGGAGACTCCAGCGGCTCATGAGTGAACAGGCACAACAGAACCCGGGCAGAGATGGACTTACACGAGCGAAGCCTAGGCTCTGGGCCCCTCCCTTACACAGGCTGCTTCCCAGAGTCATACACTTTTATAAAATATTAAAAAGCATGATAGTTAACCACAGTGGGTTTTAGATTAAATTTTACTTCCACTGTCAAGTTGTGATGGGATGGCCGTGGGCAACTGGACATCAGGCTAAAGGTAGCTAAGCTGGAGGTGCATTGAGCTGTGTGTTTCCAGATGCTTGCAGTTACTTTCATGTAGAGCTCATTCCCGCCAGCCATCCCGGGTAGAAATGGGCTCCAAGAAGGCACACTCCACCTGGTCACCTGCCGTCATGACAGGGAGACGCAGAGCCCGAGGGGCCTCACAGCATCAGCACACCCTGAGGTGTCCAGGCTGAAGGAGGGGAACATGTGGAGCCAGAACTCAATCTCTGGAATATTCTTCCAGATAAGAAGACTCATGTGAAAGCATCTTGGTAGAGGTGAGCTGCTTGACAACAATCCTCAACAATTGTGAAGATGAAATTTTTCTCTTTATCATAATAAAATGAAAAAAAAAAAGTTTAAAAATATGTTTTGTTTTGTTTTTATTGATTTCAGAGAGAGAAAGGGAGAGAGAGAGAGAAACATCAATGATGGGAGAAACATCATCGATCGCTGCCTCCTGCACGTGCCCTCCTAGGGATCAAGCCCGAAACTCAGACATGTGCCCTGACCAGGAATGGAATCGTGACCTCCTGGTTCATGGGTTAAAGCTCAACCATTGAGCCACACCAACGGGGCTAAAAAATAAAATAAATGCTAGAAGAAAGATTTTACCTATCTGTTCTTTATATGATATTTACAAAATCATACCACACACGTGGTGGCTTAAACTACAAAATTCAGTGTCTTGCAGTTCTGGATGTTCGCAGTCCAAAGCCAGTGTCCCTGGGGTAAACTCGGAGTGTTGCCAGGCTGGGTCCTTGGAGGCTCTAGGGGGAACTGCTCCCAGGGTTTTCCAGTGCTTAGCTGCCACCCAGCACAGCGAGGGCAGGAGTCGCCTCACATCAGCACAGCCTAACTGGTCATGAAATTTATACAAAACTGACCTGGCTGGCACACACCAGTCACCTAGTCACTGCCATTGCCCTGCCCACCAGGCACCATTCTATTATATAAGGAGTACTGATGTAAGCGTGGGACAGGATCAGAATTGGGGGTGTCAGTTGGCATCCCCCAACCCAGTTCAGATCTATTGCTAGCTGAACCCCATCTGTGTGAACCCTTAACATGACCCGCGTGATCAGAGCCCACTCCGGGTCCGGTTTCTGGAGGAGGCAGCACTCTAAAATGAAGAGAGACTAGAAAAGAGTTAATTTGGGACAAATGGGAGGCCAGGTGGGTGTTAACCTCTAATAGGAAGACTACTAGGCTCTGGCCTTGCTATCCCTTTTATTGAGGCTGCTATGGGATACACCCATTACCCTTAAGCAGCTTTGGGAAACACCCAGAACCCTTAGGCAGGTAATAAGCGGATTATCATATCAGTAAGGATTTACATGATTACAAGATGGGGAAGTTGCCTCAGTTACCATTGTCTCAATTAGATAGGGAGTGGTTGGCTCTGACCTTTCAGAGCTTCAAGGTTGACCAGCCTCTTTCTATTAGTGAGACAATGATTGGTTTCTGGCACCATCTGTTTCCATTATTTCTTTCTTTCTTTTCTTTTTTTTTTTTTTTAATACAAGTTGGGCAAACAGGGCTTACAATTTTATTTTATTTATTTATTTATTCATTTATTTATTAAATATATTTTATTGATTTTATACAGAGAGGAAGGGAGAGAGATAGAGAGTTAGAAACATCGATGAGAGAGAGTCATCAATTAGCTGCCTCTTGCACACCCCCTACTGGGGATATGCCCGCAACCAAGGTACATGCCCTTGACAGGAATTGAACCCGGGACCCTTCAGTCCCCAAGCCGACACTCTATCCATTGAGCCAAACCGGTCCTGGCAATGTTTCCATTATTTCTTGCCATGCAACAAGCCTTCCCAAAATTTACAGGATTACAACTGCCACCATTTTATTTTCTTCACCATTCTGTGTGTTGACAGGGCTCTGTTGAGAGTTCTTCCACTCCACATGGCATCAGGTGGATGCTTTCCTGGGCTGGGATGTCCCAGAAGGCTTCCTCACATGTCCTGAGCTCAGCAGGGGGGAGGGGGGAGCCATGGCTGGGAGCCTGGGCAGCTGGGTCTCTCCCATGCGTGTCATCTCAGGGCTCTCTCTCTCCACATGACCTCATTGCATGGTCCCCCCAGCAGGGTTGCCAGACTTTCTCACATGGTGATGTTGGGCTCCCCAAAGGGGAGAAGCAGAAGCTCCCGGGCCTTGTTATGATTCAGGCCTGGGACTGACACAGTGTCATTTCCCCACATCCTATTGCTTCAAGCAAGTCCAAGACCATCCCAGACTCATCCTGGAAGAGGACTGCATGAGGGTGGGGCTCGGGACTTGAGGTTTATTGGAGACCATCTTTGGAGAATATGTCAGCGTTCTCTACCTGGAGCTTCATAATATGAAAGAATGGACTATGGAAATTATTTAACAGAAAACTTATAGGCAAAACTAAGTAAAAGTCGTTCCAATATTACAGAGTGGGATTCTGTCATTAATTCTAGTGCCTCCTTATTAAAGAATTGGGGAATGCTTAATCAGACACAGTTTAAATAGATGTCTCTCTTCAGTCTCTTTAGAGACATTTTTGAAAAAATATTTTTATTGATTTCAGAGAGGAAGAGAGAGGGATAGAGAGATAGAAACATCAACGAAGAGAGAGAATCATTGATCAGCTGCCTCCTGCACGCACTACACTGGGGACCCAACCCACAACCTGGGCATGTGCCCTGACTGGGAATCAAACCGTGAACTCCTGGTTCATAGATCTACGCTCAACCCAGCTAAGCCGGCTGGGCTAGAGACATTCCTTATCTTCTTGGTGTGTGCCACCTACTGAGCTTCCGTGATTCACATGTCTTATAATTACGCACCACTTCCCTTCTAGGGACCAGGATTTATATTGATCACAGTGGGAGTGTCATCTCACTTTTCCTTTGTCCACAGTTGACCATTTATGTGCAGAATATCTGCCAACCATCTCCGTAGCCCCAGATTCTGCTCTTCCTAGTGGCTCCTGACTGAAGCTGAAAAAGGAAGGCAGGTTGTTTTCCTCCAATGTGCACTCTGAAACAATGCCTTGTGTATAAAATGTCCTTTCCTGTGACAGTCTCTGCTTGTGGAACACTCTCTGTGACTCTGAGTAGTTGGATTTTTTTTTTTTGAGTAGGCCCTGGATTTCTGCCATGGAAATGACCTCCAGCTTTCGTAGATGGTTACATCTCTCCTTATAGCAACCCCACCCACCCCCTTTCTCCCATGACAGGCCAGCTCTTGGGTCCCCAGTGGGGACAGCCTCAGCCCATTCCTGTCCAGCCCTTTTCTGACCTGAGGCTGTTTTACTCCTAGTCCCAGAGGGCCAGAAGCCAACCTGGAGGTGAGACCTGAAGAAAGCTGGAACCATGATGACCTTGAGCACTGCCGCGAAGCAGACTCCACTCCGGGAAGGCCCGCCGTCAACGGCGAGACGGTGGGCGGGGAGCCCCACATCTGCCGTGTATGTGGGGACAAGGCCACTGGGTATCACTTCAATGTCATGACGTGTGAAGGATGCAAGGGCTTCTTCAGGTAGAGTACCCTGCCACCTTCCCCACCGGCCACCCTGACTCCCTGGGCCCCATCCTACTGGGGCTCTGCCGTTAGCCCACTGGGCACCCGGGCTGCCGCTTGACCGTCTCCCAGGTTCAGAGTGTGGGCCGGGGCCATCCGGAGGCCTCCTCATTAGTCTCAGGAGAGCCATGTATATCTCAGAGGAATCCTTCGTCTTCCGTCTTCCATCTTCCTTCCTGAGAAAGGTCTCCTTCTACTAAGACACCCCTTTGTTTCTCCATACCTTCTGAGTAAAATAGAAATTCAGTCTGTAAAAGAGGGGAGGGTGTGACCATCCCACATGCAAGTGTTCAAATCAGTCTTAGAGAGCGGTTGTGAAGTAAGAACAGCATAAAATAAATGAAGAATGTGATAGAAAGCTCACCTAGAAACAGGCAAATAGTCCAACCATTTAAAGACTGAAAAGTCCCAGCACAGCAAGACAGGTGCACACAGAAGGGCTCAGCTTGTCCAGCTGAAGGAAGAGAAGGGCGCAGCTCAGTGCAGGGCTCAAACCAGGAGGAGAAGCGGACCAGGGAGGGAGGGGTGGGGTAGGGGGGAGACAGGGAGGAAGGATTGTGAGGGAACTCTCCATTGGCCCCTGTGGAGGGCAGGGCATGCTGAAAGCAGCTCCCACCCGGGGGGAGGGGAGGTGTCACCCTTGAGAGCCTCGGGCATTCTTAGGGCAGAAACTTGACTTCCTGGAGGCCGGACAGACGAATGGAAACAAACCCTAGAGCCAGGGCCCAGGCACCCAGACATGGCAGGGGCGGGGGCCCCCCACACCTCTGACCTCAGGGGAGATGGGGGCCCCCTCTTTCCCTGTGAGCCCACCTGTCTCAGGGGACAGGCAGGCCACAGAGGTGACAGAAGGGCAGGGAGAGGGAGGTGCGGCCTGTCCCCCGCTGACCACCCACTGCCCCTTGTCCGCACAGGAGGGCCATGAAACGCAACGTGCGGCTGCGGTGCCCCTTCCGGAAGGGCGCCTGTGAGATCACCCAGAAGACCCGGCGGCAGTGCCAGGCCTGCCGCCTGCGCAAGTGCCTGGAGAGCGGCATGAGGAAGGAGAGTGAGTGGCGGGTGTGCTGGGCGGGCTGGGGCCTCGGGTGTGTGTGTGCCCACGGGCACCACGGAGGCGTGTGCCCGCGCACGGGTCCCTGGGCAGCTCGTGGCCTGAAAGCGGCGGGCAGGCACACGGAGCGGGGCTTGCAGCCCATCTGCCTGCACCACAGCCCTCCCAGGACAGGACAGATGGGGGCACCTGCCCTCTGCGCTGGGAGGTGGGCGTCTCCGGGCAGTCATGCCCTTCTCTCCCCTCAGTGCCCTTGTGACTCTTGGTCCCCTTTGTAATTGCCCTTGTGGCGTTTTAGGCAAATCGAGGGAGGTGAACTCGGGAGAGGGAAGCCAGAGGCTCCTTGGGAAGTGGTTGGTTTGGCATTTCTTGCTAAGCAGTAGTCCCAGCTTTCCAAGGGCTTGGAGGCCCGGAGAACCTGGGCGACTCTGAGGAGTCTTGTCGGTATCGAATGCAGTCGAAAGGAATACATGCCACCAGGCGCTGGTTACTGAACACTTACCACATTCCAGGGAGTGTAGGGGTGAATACACAGGGGCGGGCAAAAGTAGGGTTACAGTTTAAGTATAGAAAACAGAGTTTATTCTTGTATTATTTATTTAAATATTTTTTATTGATTTCAGAGAGGAAGGGTAAGGGAGAGAGAAGTGGGGGGAGAAACATCAATGATGAGAAAGAGTCATTGATTGGCTGCTTCCTGCATGCCCCACACTGGGGATTGAGCCTGCAACCTGGGCATGTGCCCTGACCAGGAATCAAACCATGACCTCTGGTTCATAGGTCAATGCTCAGCCACTGAGCCACACCAGCCAGGCTATCATTTATTTATTATTCTATCATTCATACAACTGCAAATCTACTTTTTCCCACCCTCCTCTCTCTATCTATACACTGAGTGGCCAGATTATTATGATGATCTCTGAGGCCCGGTGCATGAATTCGTGCATGGGTGGGGTCCGGCCAACCTTGCCAGGGGGAGGGGACATGGGCGGTTGGCCAGCCAGTCTGCTGGTGGAACTCCTGGTCGAGGAGACAATTTGCATATTAGCCTTTTATTATATAAGATTTACACTGAGTGGCCAGATTATTATGCTTTCAGAGATCATAATAATCTGTCCACTCAGTGTATATTCATATAGATGTATGTATATGTATACATGTTGATGTATACATATGTGTGAGTGTGTGTAGCTCCTACATACATAGCCAGGAGCTATATTAGGCACCTTCCATGCAATGCCTCATCGGAACTGCAGTAGGAGGTGAGCACTGCCACTCCAGATTACAAAGAAGAAAACTGAAGGCGGGAGGGGTTAAGGAGTTTGCTCAGGGTCACTGATGTCACTCAAACCCAGCTGTCACCAAACCCAGCTGCCACTCAAACCCAGCTGCCACTCAAACCCAGCTGCCACTCAAACCCAGCTGTCACTCAAACCCAGCTGCCACTCAAACCCAGCTGTCACCAAACCCAGCTGCCACTCAAACCCAGCTGCCACTCAAACCCAGCTGCCACTCAAACCCAGCTGCCACTCAAACCCAGCTGTCACCAAACCCAGCTGCCACTCAAACCCAGCTGTCACTCAAACCCAGCTGCCACTCAAACCCAGCTGTCACCAAACCCAGCTGCCACTCAAACCCAGCTGTCACTCAAACCTAGCTGCCACTCAAACCCAGCTGTCACTCAAACCCAGCTGCCACTCAAACCCAGCTGTCACCAAACCCAGCTGCCACTCAAACCCAGCTGCCACTCAAACCCAGCTGTCACTCAAACCTAGCTGCCACTCAAACCCAGCTGCCACTCAAACCCAGCTGTCACCAAACCCAGCTACCACTCAAACCCAGCTGTCACCAAACCCAGCACCTTTTGGTTTTGAAGCCAAGTGCTTCCCTCTGTTCCACAAAGTTGTCACAAACCCTGCAGTCGTGGGCAGCACACCAGCCGCACCTCATCCCTTTGTCCTCCCCCAAGTGTTTCTCCAGAGGAGCCATTGCCCTCACGAGTCTGGGTTTCCCGTCAGCAGCTCTTCCCCTGCTGCTGCCTGGGCGGGTGAGGCGGCCTCGCTCCCGCAGGCAGCTGAGCCCGCCCTGGCCGTCCCTGCAGTGATCATGTCGGACGCAGCCGTGGAGCAGAGACGGGCCTTGATCAGGAAGAAGCGAGAACGGATTGGGTCGGAGCCCCTGGGAGCCAAGGGCCTGACTGCAGAGCAGTGGGCGATGATCCGGGAGCTGATGGACGCTCAGATGAAAACCTTTGACACCACCTTCGCCCATTTCAAGAACTTCCGGGTATGAGGCTTTACACGTGGCTCAGTGGCTATGCCAGCTCAAACCCCAATCCCATTCCCAGAAATCCCCCAAACTGGCCCTTGCAGCCAGCAGCAGCCGCCGGCGGGGGGGGGGGGGGGGGGGTTGGCGGGGCTTGTTAGTTAGAAATGCAAGTTCTCAGACTCCCCCAGGCTTCAATTCAGACACTGGAGGCTGGGCACACAGCCTGTATTTTGACAAGACCCCAGGGGGTTCCGACACATGCTCGGGTTTGAGAACCTTGGCTTCCTCTTTCTGCAGCAGGTGGGAACCGGGCCTGAGCCATCAGTGGAGTCTCAGAAGCTGAGCTGTCCCAGGGTTGCCGGGGTTCAGGGCTTAATGTAAACAGGGCCGGGCCTGCTGGGGGTCTGACATCTGTGAACTGGTTTTACTGAATCCAGAAACATTAGTGATCTCAGCACCGTCAGCCACGTCTCAGCTCTGCATCCTCTCCCCTTCGATGCTCACAGTGTCCCGGGAGACTGCTTGGCTCAGGAAATCGGGAGCTGGGGCCCCCAGGAGCCTGTCCTTTCCATCTGTAGACCCAGACCTTTCCCTGGGTCTCCCAACTATAAGGCGGGGGATGCTTGGTGCACAGCTAAGAAATTGGCCCTGTCACCCTCCCCAGGGGCAGGAAGTAAACCCATGTCTGATGGGGCAGGGATGTGAGGGACCATCAATTCACAGATCCAGAAAGTGCACCACCTGATGGGAGACCAGGGAGAAACAGCAGGTGCTGTGTGTGTGTGTGTGTGTGTGTGTGTGTGTGTGTGTGTGTGTGTATGTGCGTGCGTGCGCTTACATGCTTCTGCCTTCATCCTCTCAAGCCTGCTGTTGTGGGTGCCCACCGGGGGCCTGTGGGGGACCCTGTTGGGGAGAATCCATGCTGTAACCCCTCCTCTCTCCGCCTCCTCTCGATTCCAGCTGCCGGGGGTGCTCAGCAGTGGCCACGAGCTCCCAGACGCTCCGCAGGCTCCACTCGGGGAAGAAGCTACCAAGTGGAGCAAGATCCGAGACGACCTGTCCTCCCTGAAGGTGGTCTCCCTGCAGCTGCGGGGGGAGGACGGCAGCGTCTGGAACTACAAGCCCCCGGCCGAGGGCAGCGGCAAGGAGATCTTCTCCCTGCTGCCTCACATGGCCGACATGTCCACCTACATGTTCAAAGGCATCATCAACTTCGCCAAGGTCATCTCCCACTTCAGGTGGGACGCGGGGACTGGGCGGGGGGTGGGCATGGGAAGGAGCAGACAATGGCCAATGGGTTCAAAGGCTCTGGGACAAGTGGGGAAACCGAGGCAGGAAGTATGAGGCCAGGGACCAGAAGCCAAGGCGTGGGCTGTGGGTCAGCAGCTGTGCGGGGAGTTGGAGGAGAGGGGGCTAGGCTGGAAGGGTTGCCAAGCCCCATCTTCCCGTGGGGAGACCCCGAGGTAGGGGAGGCTGGAGGAAGGGGCGGGAGAGGTGACCTGCTTGGCTGGGTCGTGAGGGGCAGAGATTGGAGAAAACCAAAGCAACTGGAGTCATCCTCACGGTAGGAGCCCATCCGCCCTGCCCTCTCCCCGGATTTCTGGATTGTGGGAGTGGGGCTGCCCGGTGGCGGCTCCTCTCTCAGCCTCCCTCCCCCCCCCCCTCCCTGCTGCCAGGGACCTGCCCATCGAGGACCAGATCTCACTGCTGAAGGGCGCCGCCTTTGAGCTGTACCAGCTGAGGTTCAACACGGTGTTCAACGCGGAGACGGGCACCTGGGAGTGCGGCCGGCTGTCCTACTGCCTGGAAGACCCCGCAGGTGCCCAGAGCCTCCTGTCTGCCCCGGGCGGAGGGAGGGGAGCCCCGCCAGGATGTGCGTGTCCTGGGCCCACGGGGAGAAGGCCTCAGTGAGGGAGGCCTGGGCTGGGCCCTCACGCCGCACCCACCCACCCACCCACCCACAGGGGGCTTCCAGCAGCTCCTGCTGGAGCCCATGCTCAAGTTCCACTACATGCTGAAGGAGCTGCGGCTGCGCGAGGAGGAGTATGTGCTCATGCAGGCCATCTCCCTCTTCTCCCCAGGTGAGGCCCCACGGCCGCCGGCCTCCCTGCCCCCCAGGCCTGCTCCCATCCCCTCAGCTTTTAGCTCCCCCCACTCCCTGCTCTCTCATCCTTGCCCCTCCCCTCCCCTCTTTCTCCTCCCTTCCCCTCCCCAGGTAAGGTCCTCCCCAGTGGCTTTGCCCCTCTCCCTGCCCAGCCAGGGTAGGGCCCTGCTGGTTTCTCCTGGGCCTTCCCTCGGGGTGGGGTGGGGATAGGGGTAGGGGTGGGGAATGTGTGATGCCAGTCCTCCTGGCACTGCCCTCAGTTCCCTGCCCGGGGTCTCTGCTCTGGAAGGTGCTGCCAGGCAATGCGCCCTCCCTGGGCTGGGAGCTATGCCCTGTGGCCGCGCTGGCACCACACCGCTTCCCTCCGCACAGACCGCCCCGGGGTGGTGCAGCGCAGCGTGGTGGACCAGCTGCAGGAGCGCTTCGCCATCGCCCTGAAGGCCTACATCGAGCACCACCGCCCGCAGCCCGGCCACCGGTGAGCAGCACGCCGGGCGGGGGTGAGGGGTGCCCCCCGCCTGCCAGGCCCCTGTCCTGGGTCTTCTGGGAGAGCAGGCTGGAGGTTCTCTGGGGCAGGCTCTGAGGGCCAGGGCTTTGAGGCCCTGAACTGGGACCTTCACGGAGGTTTCCTGACCTGTCAGCCTGGGCTCCAGCCCCACAGCAAAGGGCCCGAGGCCGCGCCCCACGCCCAGGACCTTGCTGCTGAGGCCCAGCTCACGTCTGCCCCGGCCTTCCCTTCTGTGCTTGGCACAGCCAGGCAGTCTCCTGAGGCTCCACAGGGTGTCTCTCTCTCTCTCTCTCTCTCTCTCTCTCTCTCTCTCTCTCTCTCTCTCTCTTTCTCCACACATTTTATTGAATTTTTATAGAGAGGAAGAGAGAGGGATAGATCAGCTGCCTCTTGCACACCCACTACTGGGGATGTGCCCACAACCAAGGTACATACCCTTGACTGGAATCAAACCCGGGACCTCTCAGTCCGCAGGCCAACGTTCTATCCACTGAGCCAAACTAGTTTCGGCAGGGTCTCTAGCAATAGCCAGCAATGACCACCTGGTAAGAAAGATATGACCATAACAGCGATAACAGTATACCTATAATAGCTGTCATGTGGTGGGAAGTGCCAGCCCCCCTGCCAAGCCGTTACAGGAACGATCACTGTTCGTCATGAAAACAGCCCCACCCAGTGGTGCCGCCGTCCTCCTGCAGGGATGGAGGCGCAGGTGGGGCTGGCAGTGGCCCAAGTCCACAACCCACGCTCTGAGCACTGCCTGACGCCTCCCAGAACAAGGACAAGCAAACCAGGCGGGAAATCCTTAGTCTGTTCTCTGCCACCCACGGGAGGAAGGCTCCTAGGGCTTGGCCAGACAGCGGTTTCCACCCTTCCCGGGGCCTCAGCGGCCCACAGGCCCCAGCCACGAGGCCGAAGGCCAGAGGGTGTATGCTGGGGTCAGCGTATGCCCGCCTCTGCTTGGCCTGCCCCGGCTTTCTGGGGAGCTCAGGATCTTGGGGTGTTGCAGTGGCTGTGTCTTCATTTGCTCAGTCCTCCCCTGTGCGGGGCTAGGAGGCATCCTGGGGAAACGGAGGCACGAGATCCCAGACTGGGTCCAGAAGGGATCGCTGCTTGCAACCCCTGCTTCCATAGCCCCTGCACTCGATCCTCACCCCAGCCATTAGCCGGCGCAGAGACTTCCCCACAAATGGGCCTCTGCACTTGGTGCCTGAAATACCTGCGTGTTCCCACAGATATCTCCCGCACACAGAGATGCCAATGGGCTACAGCACCTCCAGTCCCCCGGGCTGCCCCACCTTCTCGCCCACGGGCTGAAAGACCAGCTTACGTAATTCCACTGAGCCTTTCCCTGGGCTGACTCCAAACGCTCTGAAAAGAAGACCCCAAGCAGGGGCGACTTCAGGGTGGTCCCAGGGCAGTAGGTGGGGCCAGGATGGGCTGCACCCCAACCTCCCCTCTGGCCGGCCCGCAGGTTCCTGTTCCTGAAGATCATGGCCAGGCTCACCGAGCTCCGCAGCATCAACGCCCAGCACACCCAGCGGCTGCTGCGCATCCACGACATCCACCCCTTCGCCACGCCCCTCATGCAGGAGCTGTTCAGCATCTCGGACGCCTGAGGAGCTGCACCGGGGGTTGGACAGATGGGCACCGCCGACACTGAGCAGGCCCCGCAGGTCCTGCCTCCTCGGGGAACTCGGGACAGCTCTGACAGAGCTGGCTAGAGGTCCCCAGGAAGGGGACAGGGACCCTCAGCCCCAGCTCAGTCTGTGGACCGCAGAGCCACGGACCCTTATACATGAGAGAGCCTGGGCCTGAAGGCAGAGCCTATGAAGAGGCAAGGCCGCCACCCCATCCGAAAAGGCCCCGCGGTCTGGGATTTGGTGGTGGGAAAGCAGGAAGGAGGATGGCGCTGGGCCCTCTGAGGGTCTGGGCCCACGTTCATGAGCCTCGTGGGTCTTTTTGCGGCGGTTACCAGTACCCCGTCTCCTCCTTTGCACTCACTCTCTCCCGCAGCCTTGTCCTGAGCTGCTTGTGAGCTCCAGGCCCCTGTCCGTCTGCAGGAGCATCAGTGTCCGTGGGAGTCTAGAGGCTGGAACGCCTGCACGTGTCAGCAGCTGGTGGTACCCACGCTGTGTGTCTGTTCTTCCCTCCTCCTGGGTCTCGGCAGCCACGCACACACGTTAAGGACCAACAACACGCAGCCTGCTGTGTGGTATACACGCTGAACCGGACAGGGATCCTCACCTCGAAGAGTTGAGAGTTCAGTAAAGAAAACAAAGCAGATACACAGAAAACTTCGGTCAGGAGGAGAAGTGACCCAAGAAGATTGTGTGGGTGCCAAGCTGTGGTGGGGATCCCTGCAACATGAATGTACTCATGTGTGTGAGTTGGCGTAGAGCTGCTCCCCATCTGAGCTGGGGTTGGGGCTTGATCCTGAGCCCGAATGTTGGGGTTAATAAATGTGCTGGATATGCATGTCTCTGCTTTGTTTAAACACATTTGAGTAAAAACATTTTTGCTTATTACATTTTAACTAATTTTACATAATGCACTCCACACCTAAGGCTTAGTTAGCAAATATAATCCTGAGTTTATTGTCAAATTGAGGCAAGATGACTTAAATAATTAACTTTTGGCTAGATATTTAAACCTTTTCTTTTTTTCGCCTTCTTTTCTGGGGAATAGATAGATGTGGGGGTGAGAAGACAGAAATGTCTTGTATATAATATATAAATTTCTGTTTCTATTCTTTACTACTTATTTTACTACTAGGGGCCCAGTGCACAAATTTGTGCAACTTGAAAGGCACTGTGGGCTGCAAGGCTGTGGTAGGCACAGGGGCGGGTCTTGGCCCATCTTCCCTGCACCCCCTTGCCCTTTCCCATGTGACCCTCGGTTCCCTGTCTGTCTGCAGCCCCACTCCCTCCGCTCTCACGTGCTGACAGTGCCAGGCCTGCTTGCACCTGCTGATGGCATGAGCAACTGGGCCTGGTGCCAGCAGTGGGTGCAAGTGGTGGCTACTGCCCTGATCATCCCTCAGGAGCAGGAGGAAGTAGAGAAGCCCCCAGGGGCGATCGGGGCCTGCAGCTGCTGCTTGTACCATCTGATGGTGCTGAGTGATCTGGACTGGCACCAGGCACTGGCAGTGGGTGCAGGTGCAGGTGCCTGGTGGGACCGCAGTGCGCAGAAGCAAATAATTTTCAGTAACCACTAAAAGCTCATCCCGATGACAGCGACCAGCAACCCTGCTCACATGCTCTTCCATCCCGCCACAGCCAATGCCCGCCATATTCCGCATACGCCCCCTGGTGGTCAGTGCACATCATTGTGGCTGGTTGTTTGGTTGTCCCACTGTTTGGTCTGTTTGTATATGAGCCTTTTATTATATAGGATTGCCCTTTACATATCTGAAGACGGTTGGTGAAAGAATATAAAAATGCATTAACTTGGCTTCCTCATAAAATGATTGCTCCATATAAAAATTTAATATATTTATACTATAATTAAAAATGTAGTAATTGAAATAATTTCAAAAGTGTAATATGTTGATGCAAATGAAGCTACACATTAACTGAATTTTGAGGAACAGGTACTTGCTTAGCTTTTGCCATTTTATGAGAAATTGGCCAAATTTTGAGAACATAAGAAATCGACACTATATATCAAAGCAAGCAAATCTATGCCCTGAATCCCTCCAAGTGTAGCAGACTCTCTGCATCAAGGAGATAAACACCCTCGTTTTCAGAAAGGAAATGGAGGGGGGAAGCTTCTCTCTGCAAATGCAAGGACTCCAGCTTTTGCCCCCAGGAATTGCTTTTGGAAATGTAAACTTCATTCAACTGTATTCATAAATCAAATGGTTCTCCTCTTCCTGACTGGAATAATTTTGAGTGTGCTAGTCACTCAAATGCAGGCTACAGTTAAGTGAGGGCAAGATGAGATTAAGGCCGGATGAAATCAGTGGATGAGTGGGTAAGAGCTGTGGTACATTTACACAATAAACTTCTTACCCTTTGTCACAGCATGGATGGACCTGGAGATTTTTATGCTAAGGGAAATAAGCCAGTCAGAGAAAGGCAAATACCATGTGATCTCACTAATATGTGGCCTCCGGCGAACAAAATAAACTGACAAGCAAAATAGAACCAGAGGCATGGATACATGAAACAGACTGGCAGATGTCAGCGGGCAGGGAGGTGAGGGACACGGATAAAGGAAGGTGAGGTAGTATTCGGTAAAGAACATATGCATAGGCCATGGACACACACAATAATGGGGAGGGCCAAGAGCGGGGGCTGGGTGGAGGTGGGAGGAAAATGCAGGACATCTGCAATAGTGTCAACAATAAACAATTTTTTTACAATTTAAATAAATTTAAAAGGGGGATATATTGGTTTAAAAAATACCTGGGCAATTCCCCAAACAATGACTTAACACTAAATGACATACATACTATAAAAAGGTAAGTGTGGTGCAAGTGCAGTTAAGAGTCAAGGTGAGGTGCACCAAAGAGCACACACAGGACCCTTCCTCTCAGCGGCTTTGTGGTTTAGAGGGCTAGGCGCCCGACCCTACTCTCAAGCATTCAGATTTCATTATTCCCTTCCCGAGCTCTGAGCATTCGAACTGAGTGTCACTTTCTGGGCATCTCTGGGGCCACTGTTCTTTCTCTAGGTCTTGCCCAGTCAGGTGAGGATGAAGTCTGACACCGGAGCTCGGGAGAAAGACCTTTGGAGGAAGTTATGTTCACCGTCTGGCTCCCCCACTGGTCAGAGCCACTCAGCAGCCAATTCCTACCTGCCCCAAACGTGAAGGGCCCCACATCTTTGGGGAAGGCCCAGAGCTTCTTTGTGGAGAAGAGGCTGGAAAGAGAAATGCACATTTGATGGACTGTCCCCTCAGCTCTGACAACTCGTAGGCCTCATCAGCCCACCTTCCACAACAGCTCGTTTTCCCGGGACACGTTCCTGTAATGCGCTCGCAGCTCTCCTAAATCCCAAGGTGCTAGTGGGGGAGTCAAATACCCCTGCACCTGAGGCCTGGGTGACCGTCCATCACTGTGGTCACTTCCTTTCACCATCTTTTCCTCGAAGGGAACCTGCAGCTTGACCCCGCCCTTTTCTCACTACCCCTTTTCGAGCCTCAATTGGCATTGTCACGGCTCCCCCAGAAATGTGACCCCAAAGGACTGGAATTGAAGAGTTCCAGGATTTTAGTTAAAAGGGCATCCTGCTCAACCCCTCCTCAAAGGGGGCAGGAAATATGAGTGACTCCCAAACAAAAGGACTTCAGTGGTATCAGGAGGGCCTGCCCCACACGGGACTTCCTCAACCCCGCCCCTCCACTGCCACACTCACAATGAACACGGAAGTGAAGAAAGAGGACCTGACTTTATCCAATATAAATTTGTTTTTATTGAAGCAGCAGTCACATGACTTTATATCTAGCCTTTAGATTAGGCCTGACTGTGAGCCAGCCCTAAAAAAAAGTTTCTTTTTTTGCACTAAGAGACATTACATGTTTACATACAGCATCCAGTATTGGGAATGATGGACTCAAACACAACATGTGTTGGTTACCAGGGAGGTACAGCCCCACTGTTTGTGATCACTTATTTTACAGATACTCCCAAAGACCATTACCGATGGGATGGAACTTAAAAAAAATACAGCTACACCAAACCATGAGCACAGTAACAGAAGACAGCAGCTTATACATGTTTTAAGATTTGTCCCTTTCGGGTGTGTTTTCTTTCTTCTCAATGCAGCATCTGCAAAGCTTCCTCTGCATCCAATCCAAAGGTTTCCAAGATGGAAGCTGCACCTCTCGGCCACACAATGGAACAAGATCATTTGAAAGAACGAGAACTAATGTTCGTATCTCGATTTTTATAACAAAGATCCATGTTTCTCTAACAGGAGGAAGAGAGGTGGCGATGTGTCTACATATTGCAGTGGCAAAACTGGCCGGGTGAAAAGGAGGGCTGGGTAGTGAAATAAAGACCACACACTTGTGAATTTTAATTTCATTTCCAGGCTACCTACTTTTTATTTAATGCAAATTACAGTACCAGTTAACTATTTCCAAACCAAGTCACATAGAACAAAATGTATTTACAAGGGAATGGGGAAAGGAGGGGAAAAAAAAAAACATTAAGCATACTTTTCACAAAAAAAGTTTATATTTAAAATGAAAACAAAAAATCAGTCACAGAGGCATTCAAGTAGTAATAATGTTATACAGATTTTGCTTTTCCTTTATATCAAGACAGATTTGCACAAGTGTTTGCAATAGTTTGTATACAACCCACAGTCCTTTATATATATATATATATATATATGTATATATAATAAATTTTGTTTTTTAGATTTGTTTTTAAGATGGAAGTGGTCACGCTAATTGGTATGTGTACAGGCCCAAGTGATCCATCGGCAACACATTTATAAATGCAATTTTACAGGCAAGCACATTTCATACATCTATCTGAATCTGCCTGTAGCAGATATAGTATGAAAAAAAAAAAAACTTAAAAAATTAACACAAGGAAGTCTACTTTGTCAAGCTAACCCCTTATGTACTGGTTGTCATTTTGCTTTTATTGCAGAGGTGCAAAACGGAGCAACAAACTTGAGTAAAACGTCATAACCCTTGTGAAAATAACCCAAACCTCCGGGATTACTTTCGAAGCCTCTCAAACGTAGACCTTAGTCTGGGACTCTACTCTGCTTCTAGTTGTCTCTCTTATCTTCAGGGGCTCAGGTTTCTATCAGAAAAGACAGGTTTTATTGTAATGCATGCTGAATTTTTTTTTTCTATAGACGGGAGAAAGTGTTTGGCTCTGTGATTAGATGATCACTAAGAACAACAGAAATCGGTTACAATTTTCATTAAAAAAAAAAAGTACTGGGGATCTGGCATTGGCCAAACTTCCTTTGGAAGATTCCAAAGTTAAGTCCCTTAAAAATGAAAGGGAAAAAGAAAGAAAATGCCAGTGTCTTTATATCCACAGGGATAGAGAATACAATAGTCCTCTCAGAAACCTTTGCATTGGTGCAGACCAGATGACTGGTTAGGCAGCTTGATTGAAACACACATCAAAAATATATATCTAAAAATTAAGAGGACTTTAAAAAATGACATGTCACTGGAAAGAAGGTGCAGTTTTCCGCCTTGCTGGAACGAACACATGATGTTTCAAATAGAGAAACCTTTGGTTTGGTAAAGTTTGTGTTTTTTTCCTACTCAAGACATCTCATATGGAGTACTTGGAGGCAAAACAACTAATTTTGATTTTCTTTCAAAAAAGGCCTTCATGATGGGCACACAGTAAAAATTCAACTAATTTTTGAAAAAAGAAATTAAAATGAGATTTTGTTGAAAGGGGTGGAGGTGGCGATAGGACGGACAGATGGGAGTCCCCTGGGTAAGCCACAGTCCTCACGCACGCACGCACGCACACTCTGGCGTTACTGCCTGCAATTGCCTTTGGGCAATTCAGACCCGACTAGCAAAACCTGACACTATGATGGAATTCTGATTTACAAAAACCAACTCTCCCCTCTCATTTGTGAGAGTGAGCATGGAATCTGCTGTTTGTAAGACAATGGTTAAAGTTTGGGGAAGAGAGGAGCAGAATCTAATGGATACCCTCCGGCTCCAGGGCCCCCCCTCCCGGCACTGTGCTGAGCCCCTGGCCGGCCTCGGGATGAAATGAAACTGGTCACTGCTACTGAGGAAGACGTATGTTCAGAACCAAAACAAAGGCAGGGCTTACATGATGGGAGATTATAAACATGGTTTCCTCTTTCCACTCCTGAGCATGGTGTCACTGAAATTCACCGTGAAGGGGCACAGACACTGTGTTATGAGTGAACTATTATCTCATAGGGAAAAGGGTCGGGACAGAGAGACATGGCTAGAGAGAGAAACCAATTAAAATTTAAAAAATGAAAAACAACAGAAAAACAAACACATGGAAGCGAAGGCACTCCAAACTATATAGATACACTATACATTGCTAGAATTATTGTTACAATAATACAGGCCGGTACCTACTACTGTACAGAGTTAAAACTATATGGCTTTAAAAAGCTCGTCTACATTTTGTCTGATTATTAAACAGAATCACTGCCCTGAACAGTAACTTTTTGCTCATTAATAACAGTTCCTGGGTCCACATATTTACATACAAAACAATAAAACTTAAATTTAAAAACATTGAAAGAAAATGTAATGTACAGGCTTGAATTTGGTGAGGAGCTTTTATTATTATTATTATTTACAAAAAGATACGCAGAGACCTGGATCTCACTTGTATAAAAGAGCTATGATCCCGCCATGATCCTTGAGAAAGAAAAAATCACGCAACTCAGCCCTCACACACGCACACACAACACGAGAGGAAAGCATCAGACTCTTCTCTTTTCTCACCCCATTTATCGGGGGGAAGGTATTTTGTAAAACACACACAGGTTTTTATGGACTCTGGCAGATATACCAAATCCAGAGTAGTGTCTGTCCAGATGTTGGCTGGGCAGTGGTCTGAAAGCAGGTCCATTTCTGTCAGACCTGCTGTTCGGCCTCTTTGTTATCTTTCCTGAAAATGGCCTATCAAAGCCATTCCTTTAGTATCATGTTGCCAAATACTTTCATTCAGATGTCTTTCCAATCTTAATCAGCTCTCAGATGCTCATTATGAAAAGTAAAATTCAGTATGTTTGATTTGGATAAACAGAGGTTTGAGAATCCCCTTTTGCAGCCTAAGAGCTTAAACAGTGAGTGAAAACGACGATGGCTCACGGTTGCCTTTCTGGCACTGGTTCACGTCAGCAGGCAGTCGACTCTCTGGGAGTCACGTGGGTAAGAAGCAGTACAGGCTCCGGGGACCTGCATGAGGGCTGTCAAGAGACTCCACTTCCAAATCGCCTGGAGGGCGAGACCCCTAACATGGCAGAAGGTGGCAATGAGAAGGGGAAGGTAAGTCACACGCAACCCAGGGCCCAGCTCTGCAGCCCTGGCTCTCGGTGAACCGTAGAAGGCGTGCGGGGAAGGAGCGGGTGCGGGGAAAGGCGGCCATCACTCAAGTAACCTTTACATATAAAGTACAACTGGTTGTGCCTTTAAGATTCATAGGTCAAGTAATGGCCCGTTAAGCACCAAGGTGACTAAGGTTCATTTTAGAGTATATAAGGCCCACAGAGATGTCAACCTTAAACGTGTAAAACAAACTCTTTGTGAAAATCTATTTCCTCACTGCAAACATAATCCTTCAATCCTCCTTGCTTTCCAAGGAATATTGCTTTTTCTTCAAAAACAGAGACTGGTTCTTACACCATTACTGATACAGAAAAGAAAACAAACAAAACTCTTAAGTGGGTATGGGGAAACATTCTTCTTCTCACTCTTCAAGCAGTCAATGTTGACGCTGTGGACAAAATGAAGACAAAAACAAAAGGCAGTACTGAATCTGTGCATATATAACACCTATACACACATTTATGTAATCCACTTTCCTATAAAGTCAGCAGGTACAAGTGGCTGTATATATCATTTGGATGTGTAGTTTTTAATATTCCTATCATCTAGAATCATAATGGCCTGACACATGCATCAATAAATAAAAAATTTAAAAAGCATGAGGTTAAAAAAAAAAGCTGAAATTAAATACAGATTCTAGATTTGGATTTAAAATTAGAACTATGTGCAGAATGTGGCAATTTCTGCAAGCTCAATCTGTAATTAAAAAAATATGAAAATAAACCAGTAGACTGTTACAGTTCACATTATTTAACTATAATGTCCTCTCAAGTGTATCTTTCCAAGGGAAGCAACTTTAGAGAAGAATCTGGACTACCTCATTCACAGTGGTGAGATCCGCCCTGGCCCGTCCCTTCCTCCAGGTTTATCGGCCTTTGGCCTCTGCAGCCAGAGTGCCGGCCCACCGCTTTGTCAGCCTTCTCCTCCGCCACCAGTTTACAGCCGCGCTAAGGTGTGCGGAGAACGTTTGGCCAGGCAAGCAAAGACCCACAGGAAGGGCAGGCAGGTTCCGTCCCGACAGCCTCTTACACAAATTCCCCCACCACTAACATGATGAAGAGCGAAACAGAACTTTAACAAATCAATTAAGAACCTTTCCCTTACAGCTCCTAACTTTATTGACCTCCCAGGGTTACAAAGAATACACATTTCCTTTTTCTCTTTTTGTCTGCCATGCCTGCCACCAACATGCCAAAGGCAAGTCTTCAGACGCCCGATGATATGGATTAATTTTACAAGTGACATTTAAGTCCCCATGGGGTTACACCTGCTAAGCTCCCAACCAATTTCAAGCTGTGCACTATACCAAGTCTCACACTTGACTTTAAAAGAAAAGAAGGTAAAAAAAAAAAAAAAAACTTCAGCCAGAACGAAGTTTTCTTCTTTTGTGGAAGGGGCATGAAGCAGGAGTTCTGTTTTTAAGTATCTAACAGCAGACTTCTGGTAAGATTGTCGTGGGAGAGAGATCGTGTTCTGGTGCTCCGCTTTTCCTCCCCCTCCCCCTCCCACCCCTGGGTCTCCCTCAAAGTGAGAATACAATGAAATTGGTTTGTATTTATAGATATTTTACAAGGTTAAATAATAATAACAATAATAAAAAAATTGAACACTAAAATGAACAGGTTTTTTTCTCTTTTTAATTTTCTTTCCAAACGTGACCAGTGTTGCTGAGTGACACTCAAGTAACTGGTGGTATTTCCTGTGCAGCTGGCTGCTCGGGACTGTTCAGGTGGAGTTGGAAGCTGATGCAGAAGCAGAGCTATTGGTCTGTCCACGGTCTCCAGCATTAGCATCTGCAAATCAAAAGTCCCAAGAGAGAGCATGAGTGATGCTGTAAAGCCTCAAAGAGAAAAGCATGCTGTCTCAACTGCAGACTGAGCTGTGTGGCCTGCTTCCAAGTGTTATCTGAAACGTTTAAAACATGGCCAATATTAGACATCTGGATTTCTTTCTGCTTAGAGCTAAGTCCATGCTGTGGCCTGGTCCTGAGGCGGGACAATACTGTCTTTGAATAAGTTACAGACTCAGGTAGCCAGAGACCATGTCTATGAAAGCTCTTGTTCTAGCCTGGATCAATGGTATAGGATCTGGAGTCTAGCGATCTGAAAATGCACAGCTGGAAACTTGTTGGAAGTCCTGAACCATGCCATCTGCCTGGGAGAGTAAAAGGGGTGGAGGCAGTGGAAGTACTGTGGGCCAGCGTGACAGGCAGAAGTGCTGTGTGTAAATCAAACTCAACTGCTTGCTTTCTAAGGTCAGGCCATCGTCGTTATTCATAGACGTGGAAGATAGACAACTAGCAGAAAAAGGAACAGCCACCAATTCACTTAATTCAATAAAGTATCTTGTAGTAACTATCTTGGCACTAATCTTACTTTGCCTAATGCTTTGGAAATATGTGTAACATTTTAACTTTAACTCCCCCTTCCCTCTTTTAAAGGCCTATTATTTCATGATATCCATTAACATTTAAGCAGGCATTTGTGTCCAGATTGGCTCTCAGTCTCCGGTAGGCATACACTGCTATTTCGGTGACTAGTTTAATTAAGTCGCATCCCTGTCATCTCACACATGACTGCGAATATCTTCCAAGCACTTCACGGTAAGCCCTGAGAGGAGAGGTGGCTTGATTGGGATGGACAACTTCCAAGAGCCGTCTCCCTACAAGTCACACCTCTCTTGGCCGTCAAGGCTGGTGAAACCCAGACGTTCTCTCTCTACAGAAACTATAGTTCTCCTATATCCTGTGATGAATACAGTAAACAAGGTCATGGCGAAAGCAACATTTGGTCTTCTGACTTTTCTACTTTGAATTTTTTAAATTAGAGTGAGGAACAAAAGACCCCAAGGACACACAGGAATTCCTAAAAATTAGCTGTTCACTTTATAAGTTCAATGGCCACTCTATGAAAACTATACTTCTTTCCTAAATTCTTGATCTTTCTGTCCTCAAAATAATCAGCCCTCTACACATTTAAATCAGACTTTGGGGAAGAAATGCTTCTCCTCCTGTTACCAGGCCTTAGCAGACGGCACGGATTCATATGAACTCACGGGCATGGCGCCAGGATGGGTGCAGGAGAGGGTAAATGGCACGGAACCTATTCTCCAAAGGCAGGCAAACAGCCTTTCTTCTAAAAGTTAGTTAGTGCCCAGGTCTACTACTTCACTCACGACTCCTGGTTTTTCCTGTAAACCATAACGTGCCTTGCTTAGCAGGAGTTTTACTCTCAATGATCATACAAATTCTGTGCATCAATAACAGAACAACAATTCTTGTCCAGGCCACAGGTTCCTCTGAGCCTTGCCCAGAAAAACACCCATTTTCATAATTTGGACACAGTCTGCATTAAACCATAGTCCAAAGAAAGCTGAAAGGCCACAGAGCTGTTTCAGAGTTAATAATGTTTCTCACAAAGCCAAGCTCACTGTGCATCTCGTGTGCTTTGTAGGACAACTCAGTACCTCTGCAGGATCATCATTAGACAACACTTCTCTCCCTTGACAGTTTGTGAACATGACAAGTAAACTGTCACGTTCTGATCTTCCCCAGGAGTTAAGGGACTCACTAATCACCGGGAATTTATCAGCTCCATTATGACATCAGCACATGTACCGGCACTGCTGGCAGCTCTGGTCAGGGCAGCCATCAGCATTAGCCAACACCCACGAAGTCTTAACTACATTGCCATACAGCACATTACATTAGTAATTTGCTCTTTGGCAAAATCATAATTTGCTATTAATCAGCCAATGTTCTTTCAGTGGATACTACCTGTGAGCTTAAGACATTCCCCACACGAGTCCCACCCTCCTTGGATGAAGCCAGAGGCTGCTTGCATGAGAATAAAAAGCACAAGCCTTTTAAGTGGGCACACAACCAAAAATGAATTCACTTTCCAAACAATAAAATTTGAATTCACTTTCCAAACAATAAAATTTGAAAATAGATTTGTTATTTATGATCTTATTTTTCTCTTTGAATTATCCTACCTAATAAGAGTAATATGCAAATTAACCATCACTCTGCTACTCCTATAAGCCACGCCCACCAGCCAATCAGAGCAAGTATGCAAATAAAACTAACCAAGATGGCTACAGCCACAGAGAGCAGGAGGGAGGCTTAGGTTTCCCAGGCAACGGCCTGCCCTTGCTGGCCTAGGCCTCCACTCAAGGCTACAAAGTTTCAGTTGTAGAAGGTAAATAAATTCCAGATACCAGGGCCTCCATTTGGGTCGCCAGGGGCGTGGTTCACCTGCAAACCACCACAGGCCCCTCGCTCAAGCCACCCCATGCCCCAAGGAAAGCCCCACCCTAATCCAGGACACCCTTCAGGACAAACCAGCCGGCCCCCACCCGTGCACCAGGCCTCTATCCTATCTAATAAAAGAGTAATATGCAGATTGATCATAACTCCAACACACAAGATTGCTGCCCCCATGTGGTGAAAGATCCTGCCCCTATGTGGACACAAGATGGCCATCAGGGGAGGGCAGTTGGGAGACACCAGGCCTGCAAGGGAAGGCAGTTGAGAGGGACCAGGTAAGCAGGGGAGGGAAGTTGGAGGCTATCAACCCTGCAGGTGAGGGCAGTTAGGGGTAACCAGGCTGGCAGAGGAGGGAAATTGGAGGCAAACAAACTGGCAAGAGAGCAGTTAGACATCAATCATGGGAGTGGTTAGTGGGTGATCAGGCTGGCAGGCAGAAGTGGTTAGGGGCAACCAGGAAGGTAGGCAGGCGAGCAGTTGGGAGCCAGCAGTCCTGGATTGTGAGGGAGCCCAGATTGGAGAGAAGGCAGGCTGGGCTGAGGGACACCATCACCCCTTCCCCCCATGCATGAATTTTGTGCACCAGGCCTCTAGTTTCCAAATAATTTGATGAGTAAAATTTTAACAGATAATTATTTTAATTATAAATATCTTTGATACCTAAGTCATAGCACTATAATCATTAGTAAAAAACAAAACAAAAAAGCCCAGCTGGTATGGCTCAGTGGTATGGCCAGGAGGTTCCCAGTTGATTCCTAGTCAGGGAACATGCCTGGGTTTTGGGCTCCATTCCCAATAAGGGGTGTGCAGGAGGCAGCTGATCAATGATTCTCTCTCGTCATTGATGTTTCTATCTCTTTCTCTCTTTTCCTCTTGGAAATAAATACAAATATATTAAAATACACCTACATGCCGAAACCGGTTATGATCAATCGGCTTGGGGACTGAAGGGCCCAGGTTCGATTCCAGTCAATGGCATGTACCTTGGTTGTGGGCATATCCCCAGTAGGGGGTGTGCAAGAGGCAGCTGATCGATGACTCTCTCTCATCGATGTTTCTAGCTCTCTATTTCTCTCCTTTCCCCTCTGTACAAAATCAATAAAATATATTTTTTTAAAAATACACCTACACCCAAACCCTTTTATCTAATGCAATGAACTGCACTTAAAAATCAAATTATACATGTCTTTGTTGAGGAAAGGAAGTCTCCCGTTCCAAGGAAGACAAAATACAGGGAGGAGAAAAGCAAAACAAAATAAAAAGTGAAGTCCTATGAACTCAATGATAGCTCCAACAGACCACTTGGCTTTCTGACTGAACAAAACTACATTTTGTAAATTCTTCTTGGTACATACTTATTTTGTTCCCACTGTCAATTCTGCAAACTTATTTTACAAATTTAAATTAATATGGCCCCTTTATTATAGTAATGCTCATTAATTTAAAATTCTGATAAACTGTCACTTGATTTAAATACATATGGTGATTCTATAACTTTTCTTCTGAAGCTTTAAACAGTAAGCAGCATTTGCTCCCTTTACATTCGTACTGATAGTTACACCACTCGGCATTACGGTTTACAGGGTGAGCTAAGATCTTTTCATCCCAAGATACCCAATCCCACTGTGAATCACCAAACACTGAGTGCAGTTACTAGTTTTGAGTCTTAAGAAATGCTCTTCTGATATTCACACTGATAGTCTTTCTTAAACCTAGTCCAATTCTACAAACATTTATTTAATATGAGATCTAGTTGTACAACTTAATAGCTGTGCAATTTTGAAACAAGTTACTTAAATTTCTCTACCCCCTCAATTTCCTCACCTGAAAAATGGCAATAATACTACCTACTTACAAAATAAGGTCTATGAAATGCTTAGCAAAGCACCTGGCTTATAATAATTGTTTAATTCATGGAAAGGTAGAACAGGCATCTAAAATAGTTTAGTGTGACTTCAATATCCACCATCACACCATAATATTGATAAGTGGCAGCAGTTAATATATGAGTGCTTACCAAATGTGCCAAACATTGCAATAAGTACACACTGCAGGAATGTCATTTAGACCACACAGCAACCCCAAGAAATAGGTAAAAATTGTTGCCGCCACTATGCAATGGCAAAATGGAAGCACAAAGAGATTAAATTATACGCCTTACATTGGAGGGCTAACAAATGGGAGAGCTAAGCACAGAAGAAGAGGATGATGACTTTTTATGGGTAGTAGGGAGCAGCAGAAAAGATTTCCTAGTAAAGGGAGAAAATAATTTCATTCCCCCTTACACGATCTACTGTGATTTCTAAAGCCTACTTTTATTATCTAAAAGGGTTACTACACTAAAACAGATCGGTGAATTTATGTTAAGAATTAAAGGTATAGTTATTTTATTTTCTAATTTTCAAAGTCTGTGTGGAGTATACAGATATACAAGTGTTTTGGAAAGAATTGACAGTTCACTGACTTCCTCACTTCCTAGAAACCAATGCCCATTACCACCCTTCTGATACTCCCGCAGTACAAACC